AAATTGGTAGGAATTAATTTTGAATTTTGCCCGATTGGCGGCCGAACTGTTCTGTTGCCGATTTTAGGACCACCAAATATCTTTAACATTCACAACTTGCAAATGGAATCTCCGAGAATGTTTTGCCCTTATACGAGAAGGATAGGTATTCGACCTTACCCTAAGATTAGGGGTGGGGTGTGACTAAAAGACAACAGCAGAAAGAGTGGGGTAAGGGAGAGGGAAGAAAGTGGAGAAGAAAGATGTTGACAGAACATGATTTGATAGGAGTAAAGGAGGTGAAAATGACAATTTTAAAGAAGAAAATTGTCCATCACTGTCAGGTTTCAAACCTTAGGCCTATTGTATGGAGAGGCAAACAACATGCCTCCAGACACGTGAGACCCGCTTATTTTTGTTAACAAAGTTTTGCTGTTTGGTTATAAAGACAGCTTTTAAAATTTTGAACGCTGTTAGCAAAAAATGTGGAAGACATAAATTTAGTATTTTAACTAAAAGAATCTTACGAAATGAGACAATTTTCTAATTTTTATACACATGTTTGTAAGTGAGAAAAAAAGCTACCACCCCACACTATTCCTCTCAGTTATCCAGGACAAGCGCCTTTATCCATTCAAATTTCTTGTTTACCCACAATAACACTGAAGGCAGCTATAACGGAAACTTAACGTAAGGAGAATTCATAAGCGAACGAACTTTCAGGAGCACCCCACCCTGATATTAATACATAATATTTATAGACAATGTTGAATCCTAAAGGGAAAGGATAACTCGGTGAAATTTTTCCAAAGCGTCTTCAAGTTCAAGCAAGTACAACTGGCACTTAATTCTGCATTTCAATTGGCGAGTGGTTTAGCTTTGAAAAAACAACCCTCCAGACATATTCGAGGATTGACACTGTATTATCACGAGTGCACAGCATTGGGTCAGTGAAAAACAGGTATTATTATGCATTACTAGCTGGGTTCCCCGCTCGATGAACGGACTCAAACGAATCGATCGTCAAGTCATTGTGGGACCAGTGCGCACTGCATGTGAACGGAAGCCTCACTTGTTTACAATGGCGTCTTAGAAGACGAATCTTCCCAAGATAAGATCTAAACGAAACTAATGAAAAACTGGAAATTAAACTACAGTAACTTCATACTCCTTAATATAACTGTGCACCCTTTAAATGATTCTGAATAACTGTTAATTTTTTCACATTCGAAATGTAAGTGGTTCGGAAGTTTTAGGTGACCAAAGTGACGAACTTTCACAAATATGATATTATTATTATAGATAATGTGACGCCTACGGGTCGGAGTCGGTGGTGTAGCCATCAAACTTTCAGCTGTTGAACCCAGAAGACGTGGGTTTGATCCCCGTGTCGGAGAGGATTTTTTTTTAAATCGAGTATCTTCGTATTTCTACAAGGATGTTGTATCCCTCTCAGCTTAAGTGGACCGTTAAAGACAGGGCTGAACCAGTCTGCCTGCCTGCCTGAACGATCTCAGTAGTGTCGATAGGGGCTGTAAAACGTTTATAATTACACTATTTTAGACAAACTCTGTTGTATCCTGTCTCCTTGAGCTTGAGTTGCTTTGCACTTTACGAGACCCTTGAATTCTATATTATAGCTCCAAATATCCCAGCACCCACTCTGTCTGTCTGTCTGTCTGTCTGTCTGTCTGTCTGTCTGTCTGTCTGTCTGTCT